GACTGCAGAGTCCTGGCCTGACGAGGTGGCTCTTCTGTGTTGCAGCCAGAGGTTGTTTGGTTTCCCCGATGTATAAATCCTGCCAATCCTCCTGCACTTAACAGCGTACACTATGTTACTCTGTGTGTGTCGGTCCCCCAACACAAACAGAGTCGAGTGTCCAGCAAACCTGAGCAAACTTTCTGTTTTTCAAAAAAACGAAAAAGGTCATAAATTGTTGTGGTTTTGTTGTTTTTTTCTCCTTCAGGGGGCTACGTCTGCATGTCCAGAGTGGACCCAAAGTCCGAGTCTGGAAACAAATATAAAACATCTATGGAGCGTGAACTGCAGCTGATGGTGGAGGAGAGCCTGTGGAGCCCTGTCGATACCAAAGAGATGCACAGATACATGATGGATGTTTATAATGATAAAAGCAAGGATGAGAAAAGGGAGGAATTCCTCCAGGGAACCATGTACCTGTACAGGAAGTCTCTTATTAAGCTGTAAAATTAGGAGTGGAGCTAAAAATGTGAGCTTACGTATTCGTCGAGCATGTGCTGGCGTTAGCGTTAGCGTACAGGGTGCCTTGAATGGTTATTGTTGTTTGTTGGCGATGTATATAAATTAAACTGAATAGAATCAGAAGTCCAAGTCAAGTCCTTCTAAAATCAAACCTCACCATCATGGCAGCGTTATCTATGTAAACCTTTATTTCAGTGGTCAGCACATAAACAACAAAGCTCAAAGTTTTCTGAGTTTTTATTTCTTCCACTGGATGTTTTGCTTATGTTTCAGAATTCTTCAGTAGATTTCAGCTCACGAGTTTTTAATGTCTCTCTCTTACATCGTCTCTGGTCAACACTCAGCATTAGCACACTGTCACTATTTTTACCTTTAACAGGGCCCTTAAACATATCTGCTTCAAGAGCACAGCATCAAGTAGCAAAACCAGTAGAAACCAGAAGTAGCAGGAATTCGATTCAACTAAGTTTTATTTATACAGCACCAAATCACAATAACAGTTGTGTCAAGATGTTGTATACTGTAAGGTAAATATTCCACAGAGGAAACGGAGAAACCCTATGAGCACTTTGGCGACAGTGGGAAGGAAAAACTCCCTTTTAACAGGAAGAAACCTCCAGCAGAACCAGGCTCATGGAGGGGCGGGGCCATCTGCTGTGATTGGCTGGGGTGAGAGAAGGAAGACGGGCTAAAGACATGCTGTGGAAGAGAGGCAGAGGTTAATAACAGGGAGGATTTAATGCAGAGAGGTCTGTTAGTGTTAACTATTAACAACTATTAAAGTTGATATCACTGAAAACAGGTACATACGAAAACCAAATAAGATTTTGTAACCATTAATAATCTGTTTTAAGCAGGAATAAATAACAAGTTAATGTTTCAACTCATTGTAGGATGTCATCAGAATACTTTAATAATCCCTAAGGAAACTATGTGGGTTACATTTGCTACAAGACATTAACAGTAACTGTCACGGACCCGGCTCTGGAGGACTCGGGGGTCCGTGAGCAGTTT